GTTGGCCAAATGTTTTGACATATTTGAATAGCTTGTCATGCCCCCTATATCTATATCTATATCTATATCTACATCTATATATCTATATATCTATATTTCAACACACATCCAGACTGAGTCCAAGTTCTCATACTATTTACTGATGAATCTTCAGATCTAAGCGCTTCTGAAATTTTCTTAACCATGCACTGTATACAAAAAACAATAGAAATGGCTGTCTTCCAGAAATTAGCTAGTTTCCCACCAACACTCAACACCTGGCACTAAACCAGCCCATGTTCCCTTTACTGTAAAGCACCAAGGAGATCAAAATTTAACCTCAAATGCATGACATGTAAGCTTTCTCGGTTTGACTGCCCATTCCTCAGGCTGAAAGTGCTCCATCAGCAGTTACAGCAGAAACGTATGAGTCACTGTGAAGAAGTGTGTAAAACCCCACAGAAAAATGACGGCCTAACCTCATTAAAATAAAATGTGCAGAAGTGAGGTAGATATTTGCCAAATACCAAAATTAGCAGAAACAGAAGTCACCCAGAGAAAATGCCAAACCTCAAGAAGCAACCCAGTGGGAGAATAATCAGAAGGGGGGAGAAAACTGTTCTCTTCCACCGATGCATTCAAAATATTTCTGCAAATGGTCAGATATTAAGATGCATCATCACATTTTTGCTAAAGGTTAAATCTAAAAGCCCAACATTTGGTATTTGTACTATATCCAAAATGGCATCTAAGTCAGAGCAGATGAAAATGATTTTTTTATTGGAAAAATGCTTGGCAGAGAAATTTCAATGGTTCATTAAAATCACCCAAGAGACCTACGTGCAGCAGATTTCCCACTCTTCAAAATTGCTCCCTGGATGGCTCTGCATAAAAGCAATGGTGGCAGAAAAATCATTTTTGTTTGCTGCCATCACTGTCAAAAAGAGCTCTGCTCTGCATTTCATCAAACCTATGACCAATTTTTTGTTGCTTTCTATTCCAGTTGGCGCCCCTGTTGCTTCTTCTCACCCAAAGTTCTGTGGTTTTACCAAGTAGCTGGCCAGGCTTTAATCAGCAGGTAAGGGCACCTAGGAGCAACTACATCAAAGGGTCCAGATTGGTCCAAGATCCCTGTCTGCCATGTCAGAAGGGAGCATTACATTAGGCTATGTGACCCGCAGTGTGTGACGGAATAATTTAGCCTCAACATTCTTAACAGAAACCATGAAGCCCAAAGTCAATCTGGCAAGGGTGGATCAACCCGAAGGCCACCTCCATCGAAACCCAAGAGGAAATTATTATACCAGCAGAAAATTTGTTCAGTCCAGTATACCAAGTTACAGCTACATGCAAAACAGATGACCTGAATGAAATAATAATTCTTCTATTATTATTGTTGTTGTTGTTGTTGTTGTTAGTATTACAGCAGCAGCAATAGCAGCAGTTGTATTAATAGTAATTTTACTTCCATACAGATATTCCTCCCAGTAAAATCCAGTGCATGGCACAGAAAAAAAAACACAGTTTAGAATAAAAACAATAACCAATAAAACTTCACAATAAAACAATAAAATTAACAGCATTTAATATAATTAAAACAATTTATCAAAAGTATAATATATTACTGTTATTTCAGCATTGGAAAGATAAATGTATGGCCCCATTTATTCAATGGACTGAAGACCTGATTGCACTTGCTACTTATGAGCGGATTGCCTATAGACATGGACTTTGTATGAACAAGTATAATGAAATATGGGACTCATTTATACAAAATACACTGGGTTAAAAAAAACATGATAGTCATATAACTCTATTAGAAATATATATGTACTTGAATAATATTTGTATTAGATATACATATATAGAATTGTAACAGTTTACTGTTATAATGATATATTAACACTTTTTCTCTTTTTGTTGTATTTCTTTCACTTTTATGTTAAAGCACTTTTATGTGTTTTTTTCTTTTTTCTTTTGGTAATCAAAAATTTTAAAAAATAAATTTAAAAAAACATATATTACTCAGCAACTAATTTGGAAGCAATCTGGTCCTGGGGCAGTTGCTTTCCTGAAAATGCCTGGGTGAACAAGCATCTCTTAAGCTTCCTTCTAAAAGTAGGCATTATAGAACCAGCTGTATTTCCCTTGGAAGGAAGTTCCAAAATAGGAATACCACCCCAGAGGAGACCACAAACAAGACCTTCCCGGCTAAACTTAGACTAGCCTTCCTCAATCTGATGCCTATCAGATATGCTTAGGCTTCACCCAAAATTATAAGATAGACAGCCAGGCTAACCACTGAGCTGTAGCATCCCGTCTTTTTTTAATCCTTCGTCTATGTCAGTAGTGGACTGAGAACATGGAAGGACACAGCGGGGACAAGTATAATCCAGGCTGCTTTATCCAACCAGGGACAATAATACAAGTCCCCAGGAGGAAGCCTCAACAGACAGCTCTACACATATGGATAAATGCAGAACTAGCTACAATATTCTCGGATTCCAGGACATGATATGGTGCTTGTGATGGCTGTGGATAGCAAGATATGTTGGGCAACTGAAAAAGCCGGAAGGCTGGATGCCATGGAGAAGGAACAAACATGGAGGGGAATCATGTCAAACTCCACAACATGTAGAGCTGCTCCTAGTCCTGCTGCTCTTGTGCTGTGGCCTGAATAGTTTCAACCCTACTTACAATCCAAAGGTGTTAATAATCAAAAGGACAGGATGTAGTACTGGTTTGGACAGCAGAGGGCAGTCTCAGTAAAGAATCTGATGAAAGCTCCATATAAGATTACAGTGGTGAAGGTGAAGAACTGACCAGGGCCAGGGTGGTTCAAGTCCCTTCACCCCCAGCAAATTTAATTTTAATATTAATTGTTTAGACCAGATCTCTGCCATTAGTGGGGTCACAACTCCTAGAATTCAAAGTTGGCATACTATTGGGGCTTATAAGGGAATTCATAGGCATGTCAGAAGGAGACTTCCCTTTCCTTTTTTGTCTGTAGCATCAGAAATTCATATGCAAAAAGAACAGATCAAAGTTCTGATACTCCAGCATCTTGAATCCCACAGTGACCAGCCTGGTATCTACAAGGATGAGAAAAAATAACCTTGTGCTGCTGGCTCCCACCAGCTGATATTCGATAGCATGCAGCCTCTGAACATGGGTAGTTCCATGAAAACATGATGATTAATGGCCATTGATAAATGCACAGACTAGGTCTTTTGAATCTGCTTTAAAGCCATCTAAGAGATTGGCCTTCACCACCATTTTATGGCAATAAAATTCATCAGTGCACACTGTACAAAGAAGCACGTCCTTCAGCATGCCTCAAATCTCATGCCCATCCATTTAATTGGATGGCCCTGAATTCTAGCATGACATGAGAGGGGTAAAAACCTCTCCCCCCACAACCTTGTTTTTCCCACACCCAATTTTATTAGTTGATCTCAAACTCAATATTACATGAGAGAGAAAAGGAAGGCTATCTATTAACTCTCTTGACAGCCATTTGAAAGAAAAAAGAAATTCCTTTTAAGTTTCTCCTTGTATTCTCCTAACCCAAGAATAGGTAACATGTGGCCCTCCAGATGATGAACCATGAGAGTTTACATGTAGTATAATATCTGGAGGGCCACATGTTGACCACCTCTATTTTAATTTCACCTATCATTTAATTGTCATTTCTAAATATCTTCTAGATATGAGAAGACAAGAACACACATTTGGATAATTCAACAATTATTGCAATGCTATTTATCTTCTGTCCCTCTGAATGTTCTTAATGCTGAAATGGGCTTTTTTTTTTACCACTGCTACCAACAAATTGACATATTCAATTAATTTGCCCTATTATGATCTTGTCCCAAGATAGTCATAAGAACAGAAAAGGAGTTATGATGAAGGTTCAGCTAGTTCAACATTTTGTTCCTACAGTGTTGAACCAGATGCTTCTGCAAAGCAATGATACCTTGTGCTATTCTCCCAAGCAAATGATCTTCACAGGCTTCTGCTTCTTATTGAAAATGACATGCTGCTGTCCTGACTATAGCCACCGATAGCCTTATCCTCATAAAACAAGGATACAATACAGAGCACTTAGTATTGCCTACATCATTTTTGCACAACCAGTGGGCCACATGCAGCTCCCTTTGCAATGGCCTTTGTGTGGCTTTAAGTGCAAGTAAGGCAAAGGCCCTGCTCTCTCGTCCACGAGCGAGAGCTCTGAGACCCTGACAAGCAACACAAGCAGAGGTTCTCTTCTGGAGTGAATAAATGGCTTCTTCTTTGATCACTTTTAGGATGTTATTAATTCCAATCCCCATTTAGTTACGTTCAGCATATAGTGCGTTCAACCAAGGTTTAATGCAGCACTATGTATTTATTTATTTATGTATTTATGTGGGTAAGTATGAGCTGCAGATTGATTTGATAACTGGCTGCATTCTGTTTTTCCATTTATACAGTAGGACCATTATCCTGAAAAGTGGGCTAGAAAATGATTAAATAAAGAAATCAAAATAAATGCTGCAAGGGTCAGGGAAGCAGGGAACTTCAGGAAAAACCCAGCTTCTTTTAATTCTAGTGATGTGGTAACTCACTTATGGAACCACACAGGAATCTATTATTGAGGGTGCCAAGTGTATGAATGAACTCTTACATTCAGAAACACTGTAAACCAGGTCAGTATTCCCATATTACAGATAGACAACCAGTAACCATCCAAGCAAGTCCATGGCTCAAACTGAATCCAACACTGCAACCACTGTGGTACTATGAACTGTGATGTGCTTGCAAATTCTGGTTATTGCCGTTAATATACACAAGTAACTCCACAGATGTTCAAGAAAGTATTTTAAATCTGTAACTCATAGGCAAATTGAAACAAAAGGAAGATCTGTTAGCACCTGCAGAAAGCTGAGAAGCTGTATCCTGTTTTCAGGAAGTTCTCAGTCCTCCTGGTTGCAGAATGCTAAGAGGAATAAAAATGTGGCTATAAAAGATGTGATTCTCACCGAGGTATTCTGGCACTGTATGCTGCTGGAGTTGAAGCGTACAGCTGGCACCCGCTGTTGGCGACCTTGGATTCCCAAGACACACTCGTAATTCTTCTGGCCTGACTGAGGTTGTGGAAGGTTCTTGGCACGCAGGGTAATGGGTTGTAACACTCCCACAGGAATCAAGATCTCCCCACCAGGCAGGAGCTCTGGACAGCCCTAGCACAAATGAAAAGATGCAAGCCGTGTGCTCAGAAGCCTTAAAGCTCTGGCAAGCGCCACCTGTGCTATTTGCAGGCAGACATGAACGTTCTCAGGACAGGACTGAAAAGGGAAACAGTTCTAAACTCAAACTGAGGCAGGCACTGCCTTCAAATTAGCAGTATAGGAAACACAGAACATCTTTTTTTTAAAATAATCTGATCCTACCCATGCTTACTAAAAGAAAGTGCGTTGATTAAAGCGACACTGCTTCCCAAATACTTTTTTAGGACTGTCATTTGGGTTCCTATGTGAAGACACTCATAATCATTCCTGGGGGTAGGAAACAGGCCTTTCCCTCCTGCGAATGGAGGTTCCTTCTCGCCCAGGGGCAACAGCTGCCTAACCTTTCAGATCCCAACAGCTCCACAGCGAACAGGGGTAAAGCCCAGGAGTCTGGCTCCCGGCTCCTCCTTTGCCTGTGGTGGCCGCCTGAGAGAGATGGAGATGAAAGAGCCTGCTGGGCGCTCGGAGTTACCATGGAAACCAGAGTCTGGTTAATTGCTCCTTGGTACCAAAGGAAAGGTAGAGTGGGGAGGCGTGCTGGGCTGGCTGCTCTGTTTGCAGGGCTAGCAGAGACACAGGGTGGCCATGACGCTGGCAAGCAATACAGGATACGTGGTCCTGACCTGGAGAACAATTAAACCCCGGGTGCAGCTTCCTATGGAGGCCTAAGACAATGGGGTCAAGACAAAGGCCCAGCCTGTGGGAAGAGGAGCCTGGAAGCACCGAGCAGTTTTTCCTTCTAGCTCTTTCATTCTTTAGTCTGAAAATATAGTCCACACCAACTCATCTAGAAGTTCCAAGCACACCCTTTTTGCCAGTGCTCCTCAACCTAAGAGTCACAGGGAACGCTTCCCTTCCCACAGCCTCAAAGCCTGCTGTCCGGCCCCCTCCCACCCCAGCCACCACATCCGCCTGCAAACGCTGGCCCCTCTAAGGGAGCTGCTATCAATTACCTACCCACAAAGAGCCCCGGGCGTCTCTAGGTCTATTGATCCCGCTGCCTGGGCCAGACGATTGATCGTGAGCCACTGGCCCCATTACCAGCAAACACTCTGGCCTCCCCCATATCGATCCAGCCCCCCACCCGAATAAAGGCACTTTAGTACTATTATCGTTTCCCCACGCTGTTGATCTGCCACCTGCTGACTCTTCTCTGATTGCCTGGGATTCCCTGGTCTGAGATTCCTTGTATACAGGGCCTGTTGGAGACACTGCACACAAGACTAAACCTAAATGTAATGTGACTTCCAGAAATCTTGCCTTTTTAGTCTGCTGGTGGAGCCAAGTTTCTAGACCTCATGGTTATGAAAACATGTTGTGATGTTGTCAGAGTTGGAGAACAGAATTTTAAAGGAGAGGGAGAACTGCTGTATCTTGCACATTCTCTTCATCCCTTCTCATTACTCTTTTTCTTGTCCAATTCTCCCCTTATTTGTTTCTTCTCCCTTTTTTACCCTATGCACTGGTCAGCAAAGCAATCTGAGTTCTAGACAAAGCTGAAACATTGCAAAGACGCTATGAAAAATGTTCCAGTTAAATGTATGCAAGCAGTTGCACAACTTGTATTAATATGGAAACAGAAATTTGGCACCCAAAAATTCACTCCAGTGCTGGGAGAGCAGACTATAAAATGCTATCGTGATTTCTGCTGTTACGCAAAAATACGGAGCTCTTGAAAATGCAAGGAAGTTGAGCTGGGGAGAGAGGAGGTTCAAACCATATGGGGAGATTTCCCTCCTGACCCCTTCTGCCCTGCACGTCAGCAGGGGAATAAAACTGCTATGGATTTCCCCAGCGGTGAAGGTTTCACAAAACAAAAGATTAAAAGAATACAGAGTACAGACAGTGTTTGTGTCCAAAAATCATCCTAGGGACAGGCAGGATGAGATGATAACACTCCAAGGGCTCTTCTTACCTCAGCGGTGTTGACTCGGCCCTCTAGGAAGAAGCACTTGGCCACATTGTGGGTGCATGTGTGCCTGTATTTACACCAGTGGCATGGATAATGACTGCTGACACAGGACAAGCACCTGTAGAGTGAGGGGGGAAAAAACAGTAAGGGGGAATAAATGCATCCCCTGCTCTACAAATGCCACTTCTTTCTCCTCTTGCTTCCTGCACCTTTATTCCCTGATGGTATTGTTCTGCTTGAGGATATGAAACTTGTGGGAAGCCAGGGGAGGAAAGGGGAGTGAGACCCTGATTGAATGGGCTTTTGCAATCCCATCCAATCCACCTGCTTGTTCTGGAGCCAGCCTTAAGGGAATGCAGACTGAAACTACAGACACAAACTGACTAGATGGTGTAAACTAGGAAAGCCCCAAAACTGACAGAGGAAGGCAGTTCTTCAGAATGAAGTACCATGAGACTGCGTGCATTTCCTACTTTACAAAACAGTAATGGAGAAGTACTCTATGCCCTGAGGGGGAAAAACAGGGCAGTAGAACTACAGCAGTGTTTCTCAACCTTGGCAACTTTAAGATGTGCGGAATTCAACTCCCAGAATTCCCCAGCCAGCATGTCCACACATCTTAAAGTTGCCAAGGTTGAGAAACACTGAGCTAGAGGGTTGCACAGACACCTCAGAGCCTTGTTTCTGACAAAAAGAGGTACAAGCCTGGCTCAACCAGTCATGGCCTGTAGCTTGAAACAGGACTTGGCAACTAATCCAGGCTGCAAATAATGGTAAAAAAAATATGTTCCCAAGTCCAGCCATTTTTAGGACTGGGTCAGGTCTCCAACATTGATGGCTTATCTGGGACTAAAATCTAGAAATCTTTTACCTCTTCCTCCAAGACTTCCCTAAGGAAATAATTGAAATTGCAATTGCCATGGGGCAGGGACTTAATTGATTGATTGTTTATATTTCTAAGGCCTCCCAATTCATCAACACTGTGAGAGGTACAAAATATCAAGACAGACAGAAATGTAAGAGGGTTGTCCAGGGGAAACAAACATCCATTAAACACCCATAAAGAACTTTTCACAGAAGCAGCCCACATCCCATCCCAGTCCAGAGCCTGGGGAAGATCTTCAGAATATGATTAAAGGAGAGCAGAGTCAGGGGTGTTCAAATCTCTAGGGCAGTGTTTCTCAACCTTGGCAATTTTAAGAGGTGTGGACTTCAACTCCCAGATTCCCTAGCCAGCATGCTGGCTGGAGAATTCTGGGAGTTAAAGCACACACCTCTTAAAGCTGCCAAGGCTGAGAAACACTGCTCTAGGGGGATCCTGTTCCAGAGGGCAGGGGCCCAACAGAGAAGGCACACTTCCTAGATCCTATCAGATGACATTGATTAATGGATGGGACCCAAAGCATGCTGATTCTGTCTGATCTTATGGGATGGGCAGAAATAATGGGATAGATGTACGTAGGGCTTTGTAGGTGACACCTAACATCCTGAATTGCACTTGGGAGTCTACTAATAACCAGTGCAGCTTGCATAGCAGAAGTGTTACACAGGCATACTGTGGCACACCCATAATTGCTTATACCACTATGTTCTGTACCAGCTAAAGGTTACAAGTGGTCTTCAAGGTCAGTCCCATGTACAGAGCATTGCAATAGTCCACCCATAAGGTGACCCAGGCACGAGTGACCATAAGAAGGTGCTCCTGGTTCAGGAATGACCACAATTAGTGGATGAGATGAATCTGTGTGAAGGTCTTCTTGGCCACAGTTGCCACCTGCTCTTCAATCAGGGATTGCAAATCCAAGAAAACCCTCAAACTACATACCTGTACTTGAATAGAGAAGGGTGATGTGGGGGAATAGCAACAGAGAGCAAGGCTATCAGGAAGGAGGGGGTGCCTTCCAGGAAGGGAAAGGAGACAAAAGACAACACAGTCTGCAGGGGGAGCATGGGAAACATAAGAGGTTCAGGATAGCCACTCTAGAATCTCCCAGGGTATATCCACTAGTTGCAGTAGTATAGATTTAGTTTGGCAAGATTCTGTCTATATGGTGTAAGCAAATAAAGGAACTTAACTCAACTAGACTGTTTCACGGTTGTTCTTGGGCTGGGCCTGACAATGCCAGTTCTATCTGGGGAAGTGAACCCCATTCAGAATTAAAAATGGGAAATCCTCTGGCCAGGATGATCCATGAACTCAAAACCACTCAGTCTCATTAGGGTTGAACTTAAGTCCATTCCTCCCCATCTGGACCTTAATGGCCTCTGGGCACTGGGACAAGACCTTGACAGCATCATTTGGTTGGCCAGGACTTGAGATACCAGTGGGATATCATCAGCACACTGATGATAACTGACCCCATGTCAACAAATGACTCACACCGTGACTTCATATAGTTATTAAACAGGAAGGGTGAAAGCATTGAGCTCTATGGCACCTCACAAATCAAGAGGTCTCGGCCTTTCCTTTTCAGGCAACACTAATTGGAACTACCCAAGAGAAAAGAGAAGAACCACAACTTCATCCCCCCCATCCAGCTCCTAGTCCATCCAGAAGGTTTCATCATCAATGTTATTGAAGGGCACTAAAAGATCTACAAGAGCCAAGATGGTTGCACTACTCTCATCCCAGTCCACCAAAGGTCATCAACAAGCACAAGCAATGACATCTCAGTACTATATCCTAACCTGAAAAGGGTCCAAATAATACATTTCTTCCAAGATCCTCTGAAAATGCAGCCCAACCACTTTCCCTCAAAAGGCGATACTGAACAAATGTTCAAGATTGTTGAGACCAGAAATGGCCTCTTGAAGAGGGGTGAGTGCACCATTGCCTCCCTCGGCAGGCAGAACCACCCCCTCTCTCAAAGAGGAAGTCACCACATGGACCCAATCATGTATCACTTTTACCATGAGGCCTTCACCAACCAGGAGGGACAAGGATCTAACCAGGAAGGACAAGAAGCTAGGTCCTGCTAACTTCCTCAGGAGTAATAGAATCAAACTTGTCCCAGATAACCAACCAAGATAATTCCTAGGTTTCTACAATCAGACCTGCCCACTCCGAGTCCAACTACAAATGATCTTATCTGTCAGATGCCTAGAATATTCCTCACAGTGGCCTTGGAGATGTTCTTCTTGCTCACCCCTCCCCAACAGAGAACAGGTCACTTTGAAAAGGACCACTGCTCAGCTATCTGTGAACATAGTAACAGTGAAAAAACAGTTATGCTTTGTCACTCTTATTGCTATGATATAATCCCTAATATGGTCTCTTACTCATGTTCAAACAGATTCACTCTTCAACTTCCTCTAGTGGCATTCTAGACATCTCTTCTGCCATTCCATCTCCTAGAGTTCCTTGGAAAACCAATTCTCATCAGTCCTAGCATGTGACAACCTGCATTAGTTAGGTCTTGAATATTCTGTGTCAGGTCCATGGTTGCTGTAGTGGCCACGAACTCCCAAGCCATCTCCAACTCAACTCAGGTTAAAATCTCCCAGAACTAGCACTCGGGAAACTCCATCACTAACTCCACAACTCAGGCAGCCATGTCACAGGGCAGCACAGATGCCAGTATAGGAGCAAGAAACCCAGCTGTTCCCCAGAGCCCAACTTCAACTCTAGGGTCTTACATCTGGTTATCTGCAGCACATCGCCTCTGAAAGCCATTAGGGCTTCCCATATGACAATTGCCACCACTACTACCCACCCCAGGGTCACAGCTGGTGCCAGACTTTGAAACTCAGGTGAGCAACTTGTCCCTTCACGTCTGACGATGATCAGGTTCTTCTGTCACACATGATACGGTATACACTGAGAACGCTATATAATCTGGAAATCTATTTACAAGACAGGGGAAGCTAACTATCCTAAATCATTCAATAGCTGGATAACCACATCACGCTAAGCAATTGTGAAGCTTGTTTGATGAGGGCTCAATGTGCTGTGTGATGCATTCAACAAATTGTAATTAACAAGATCATGTTTTAGTGCAACAATGTGCAAACATGTCATTGTTTCTACCTTAGGATAAAAATGAAACCTACCCTTTTAAGCTGCTCTGCCTCTTATCTCAGGGATAAGATCTGTCTTCCTCATATAGTTTGGTAATGTCTTTCATGCTAACAAAGAACAGGTAGTCCTCAGGTAACAATGGCAATTGGGGCCAGAATTTCCATCACTAAGCCATGCAGTCATAAAGTTGACATCATGTGACCGCATGATTTAGCAATGGTAATCCCAGCACTCCCCGTTGCCATCGTTAAGCAAGGATTGTGAGTCACTAAGTGAGGACCTCCTTGCAACTTCCTGCCGGCTTCCAACAAGCAAAGTCAGTGGGGAAGCCAGCAGGAAGTCACAAGTCCCAGGCAGTTTGCAAGCAGGCCGGCGGACAGGTAAGTGGGTGCTGCTGGGTGGGGGAGTGTGTGCGGGCGGCTGTTGATTTTTAACATGCTCTTTTATAGGAATTTTGACAGAATTCTCATTTTTGTTAGAATGAAGTTTAATTAGCTGTAAATTGCACATTGTTTGTTTAAATTAATGATATCCTGATTAGAGGTTATTTTTTGTGAGAAAAAAAGCATGACAGTAAATCAGTAAATAAACAAAGAAGTGTGTAAGTTTAATTATGAGCAAAGTATAAAGATGAAGGAGAATTTATTTGAAGATGGTAACAACAGTTGTTGAAAGCTGAGATTAATCCTTATTTCGCAACAGTTGTAGACAATGACCATGTGGGTCATACTTCTTATTTGTAAATAAACTGATGGGGATTGAAAAAAGAGAGGCATTCCCCCCACCTTACAGCCTGTGCCCAGTTTCAAAACTCACGTGCGTAGAAGGCTGCAATCGTAAAAGACAAAGTTTGTACTGGCAAATTCCATGCCAGTTTCCTTGGACAGAAGTCGGATCCTAACAGTGCGTACATCACCTGACACAGTTATAGGAAGACAGGAGAAAAAGGGGAAGAAGGAAGAGCAAGTACCATCAATCACGATGTGTTTACAAGATCACATTCCTGAATTCTGACACAATCAACTTCTGGTTCCACATTCAGAATCATTAAGCAAAATTAAAACTCCTTGAAATCCCACCCCCTCCACCAGTGTAGTCTTGCAAAAGAGTGAGAGACCCATTTGTTTACCACCGTTTCAACATGTCAGTTATAACCTTGCAAAAACCCAGCACTGTAAAGTGGCAACCAATCTGATTAATGGCCATGGGAGCAGCATGTGAGCAGGAAGGCAAAAAGCAGAAGGGAAAGATCTCTGACAAAATACCATTTGACTTATAATTCTTACTCCATCTTGAGCATCATCATCTGCTTTAGAACGCTTCCAAGTATTTTACATACAACTTTAGGCTTGTTATGATTATTAGGGAGGAGAGGATCAGGACTAAGGAGAATTTCTCTGAAGCCACCAAGAAGTTTCTGGCAGAGACAAGGTAAGGACAGAAAGGTGGACTGTCTCTTGATTTCTAGCTCTGTCCCTTCAACACTACAGTACACTACTGTTTCCCCTCCCATCATCAAGCACTTACCATATTCTCCAGGGGGCTCATCCCTCAAAGTAGGTGAAAGACAGTGGATCCCCCCATCCGTCTGAAGCTGTCCCTCGCTCTCACCAAGGCTCTCAAAAGAGCAAGTCACACCAGCACTCAGGTCTGGGACATTGTGGACAGTAAGCTGAAGCTGGAAACATGGCCCAGAAAAATGAAGTCACTAGATGGGCTAGTATGTTTGAGAATTATGTCAAAAAAAGGGAAACCATAATGCACGCTGTATACCCACAGATATAAAACACCTCTCAAGTTTTATGCCATACAGTAGCACAAATAAAATGGTCATGGTTAATCTGGTTTATTCTGTATTTTTCCTATTTTGCAATAGCCGTGGTAGATGAATGGGAAACAAAAAGCTATACAGAATACCAAAACCCTGATCTCTGACCACTGGAAATTTTACTCAACAGTTTATCTGGCTTCTGAATTCCTACCAGGCGTTACCCAAGCATATCTTGGCAATCGTAAAGCTGAACAGTTGCTTTTGAAAAAACACAAAGCAAAGGAAAACTGTTGTTCTTATAAAGCTGAATGGTATGGTGAATATCATATTATTCAGGCAAGGCTTACTCATCATTATGGTTCTGTTTGCCTAGGGAGGATCTTGTGACCTTCCAGATGCACTGAATTGCAACATCCAGCATCCCTCGCCATTGGCCGTATGTGGCTAGGGCCCTTGGGAGTTGTTATTCAGCAACATCTAGAGCAGTGATAGACAGGCAGCCCTCCTGTATTGCTATATGTCAATTCTTATCAGCCCTAGCTAGCACAGTTAGTAATGAGAGGTGATTAGTTGCGATCCAACAATAGCTGGAAGGCCACATGTTTTTCTCCCTTAAAGTAGAGGGTCATGGAATCCCTGTCCCTAGCCTGGACGATAGCAGAGGGACAGATCATGGATCAAAGCTATCCTCTGCTACACTTTTAATAGCTATTACCAAGGCTGGGGATGACCTTGAAGAAGAGCAGTAATTACCTACATAAATACAATTTAGAGCACTAAACCAATTACTCTTGTTTCCCAAAGGATTCTATACTCAAGGTAGTTTGCAAGACATAAGAAATCTTATCACTAATCAAAGATCCTCTGGAGTTAATAAGTGATTTTTCATGGCATCTTCAAAATACAACCCCCTAATCCATGAGTCAGTGGAATATAATGTTTACAGCCTTCCATAATAATTCACTTACTAATTTGAATACATGCAGTCAAAAAAGAGAGCCAAGATATATAATTGTATCTCAATTAAGTTCCAGAATGACTAAAATTCTATATTCACAGTGAATGATTGACTTTCTTGCAGGATGCGTATGACCTGCTCTTTGGCAGCAAAAAAGGGTTATTTCTTTAATAACTTGCTGACATTGATTAGGGTTACAGGTTACGGTCTTCTAAACCTCACTTAAAGAAAAGTATAGTACCTGTCTTTCCTCTCTCCTCATGCTAGTTTTGTCTAGTATTAGTTTTAGAGAGTCTAGTTTTGTCTATGGATCAGTTTGGAGTCAAATTTCCACTTTCAAGAGTTGTAGCTGGCCTCAGAACGTTGAGGCTCAATTGACAAAGAACACAGGGGATGAAGAGACCAATAGTAGAGAGAAGATACAGTCAGAGAAAACAAAAAGGAGAAAACTAGCAATCAGACAGCAGGGTTGGGGGAGCCAGATGTTCAAAGAGACCAGCAGGAGGGAGCAGAGACTCACCACAATGCTAGGTTCTGTCACTGAGATATTACTGGGCTCAACCAGCAGCTGCACACATTGTGTCAGAGTTGCTGTGAAGCGGTGGGGCTCTGCAGCACGGGGACAGTCACTTTCTCTACAGCACCTGAGGCACAGAAACCGAAAGGGGCAGGGAGCAAAATGAGAGAGGTCTGCACAACCTCACACGTTGCTTGTTCCTCTTAACAGCTTCTCCTTCTGCTACCAGTGGGGTGCAAAAGCTCCTAGTGGCCCACCAGGAGCAATGGGTTGGGGGGAGAGGCAGAGGCAATGAGACAGAACTTGTATCAGAGATCTCCACGGGGCAGGGGGAGTTCACTGCACTTGGCAGCCCAGCTGATAACTCAACCCAGGCGCAGGAAAGAAGTGTTGTGTGGGGAAGTTGGCAGAGCTGAGACCAAAAGGGGGGGGGCAATAAAAGCAAGAGCAGGATCAGTAATTTAAGCAAGTGAGGGCACACACACCAGGAGGTGAGGGAGGAAGTCAGCTTGGGGACTGTAACGTGGACCTGCTGCTTCCGTTCAGGGACCCTGGAGGCTTGTTAGTGTTAGAAGGAACCAAGGATGTTTAGGGAACTGGGGATGGAGGCGCCTGCCTGGAGAAAGGATAACGGCAACCATACATTCAGAAGCAGGGTGGGATGGGGAAGGGCAACAAACACATAATCCTAATTTCCCCCCAGCCCCAGTCAATAAATAAATAGACAATATCAGAGAGATCATCCTGGGTGGAATGAGACCTGGGCTTGGGACAGGAAAGGATTGTGAAAGCCCACGACTTGCAAACAAGTGGACAAACCAGCTTTGGCAGAGGATGGGAGGCAGAAGCACTTCTCACTTCTTCCAGGCTCCCTGCTCCTTTTCCCCACCTCCCCACTGCTTGGGGGGAAAGTGTCACCTCTGCTTGCGCTCCCCCCTTCTAAGTGTTATCACATAGTTCTATATTAAGGAAGGAGGTGCAAGCTGCAGCACCAGGTGCTGAGACAGGGAGAGGAGATGGAGAGTGGGAAGAAAGGGAGAAAAACATCTGCTGGAGAGACATGGAATGGGAGCTACTGCAGGGCAGAGAAAAGGGTCGCTTTTCTCTTTTGCCTCAGCTTCTTGCCTCTCCCTCCCCTTATGCACTGACCCTTCCAGGGCAGGAACCCAACATGCAAGACAACATTGGTGCAAGGAGGAAGCACCAGCTTTCCTTTCGAAGAGAGCACAGAAACATCCTCCTTGTCTCTGGCAATGCCACATCCAGCGATGGGTTGCTCAGGGAGGGGGAGCAGAAGGAAGGAGAAAATCCTCCATCTCTTAATTTCTTTCCAAGTTGGGGAAGGAAAGCTTGTACCTCCTTGCCTGCACCTCCAACCTCCTCTTGCTCTTCCCGCCTAGTCAGCTGAGTGCTGGCAGCTTTAATAGGATTAAAGCTCCTGCAGCGTTCAGATAAAGGGGGCAGGGGAGAGGGAAGCGGGCAGCTGGCTGCCTCCCCCCTTCTTTGCCCCCAGACTTGGGTGAGAGCACAAGAAGAATGGGGGGTGGGGGTGGATAGGAATGGCAGATCATGGGTTCTTCCTCCCAGCCTGCATAGTTGAGGGTAGAAAAGAGGATCATCTCTCACCTATTGTGCAGGACACACCAGCCACAGTGTGGGTCTCTGGAGCCCAAACAGTCAGCACAGGAGAGGTACTGCCCACAGTTCTCCACAGGAAGCTGCACCACCTGAGGGAAGGGCCGCATCAATATAGATCTGAAGACCTTTTCCCCCACATCTCCTTCCCATTCATCCACCTGGCCACACTTCTGAGTTTCCCCACATAGCCTTCACTAGCCTGACATCCTCCAGATATACTGAGCTAGGAGTTACTTCCCTAACAGGTCCATAAAGAGTCAAAATGAAAAACAAAGCAGAAACAGGTTCCTGTGATATAGAAAGGCACTTGCTGAATTCCTGCCTGTGCTGCAGGTGTGAGGAAGCACACAAGCCTTCTTGAGGGAGGAGGGGAAAGAACAGGACTACCAGACTCAGGCTGCAAAAGTTTGAACAATAGTAAAGATGTGGCAGGAAAGAGTTAGGAGTTTTCTCTGTTTCCCTTTGCTGCCATTTAATAGTCGTCCAGATTTTTATAGCTCAGATCTGGTTATCCTAGGAAAACAGGTAGCAGATACACATAGATCCATATTTCTAACAGCCCTTGGTCTCACATTTGCCAATCTTCCTCAACCCTCTTTCTTCAAATTCAGCATCTGCATTTCATACATTCCTTATATTTTGCTATTTGAACAATCCATTCACAGTAAAGAAAATACAACTTTCACAGCACCCCTCGCTCCTTACATTTATAGGCATCTTGTCTATTGAAAAGAGATCTCATTGGTGTACCTGTCCTGCCCAGGGCACCCTTATCTTATGCCCCTGATCTTAATTGGCTATAGCAGTGCGGAAAAGATTTTCCCACCCCACTTAGAAAAATGAAATAATCTTCACAGTTACTCTTCATTTTCACATTTTAAACACATTGAAATGTATGCAGAGTTATCTTGTCCCAATTTCTAATGCTGATGCAAAGCACACACTTCCCTAAAGCTTAAACTCATCTGGGTTGCAATGCAGCTATTAACAAATAAAAAAGGTACTGAAATTAAATTCTAAGGCTTCTAAGGTCAGTATAAATCTGCTGAAAGAGAAAAATGTTTAAAAGTGCTGGGAGCAATAAGTAATGTCAAAAATGCCATTTACACTCCTACGGAATTTCTAAAAATGCCATTATATCTACGTATATAAAATACATATAGGTATCCCTGAATGTCTTTTTTTGCATGGAAAGATAGGGCAGAAATCCTACCACTAATGATGTTGTCTAATGATGATGATGATGATGATAATGATGATAACCTCATTACTATTAGACAATATCATTAGTCGCAGGATTTATAACCTGCCTTTCCATGCAAAAAGGCATTCAGGGATATCTCCAAAGAAAACAATTTCTTTGCATCTTGTACTCCTGGAATAAAACCTGCCAGCCATAAATAAACAAACGAGCAAGTAAAAAATCAAATCCATCCATCCATCTGTCCGTCCTCATCCCCATCAATTCTTAGTGACCATGTAGATAGACTCTCTCCAGGATAACCTGTCTTCAACCAAGTTCCCACCTGTGGCTTATTCTTTAGCTTTTCTCCTTCCTAGCTAAGGTGCCACAGAAGCTGCTGTGCCATTCTGCTTGCCCCATCACCCTTAGGCTGACCTGTCTCTGACTGAGCAAATAGAGATAGCGCTGGTCAGGACTCAGGACCATGTCACGCAGCAGAGGCTCTCCAGGCATCACTGGCACAGACTCATAAAGATGGGCCTCATCCGGATTGTCCACACGGACCTGTAGGGTGTAATGACAAAAGCAGCTCTTTTTTCTTCTCCAAACTGAAAGGGGTTTTCCCCATCCCTACCAGAAACTAGAGTGCCTCTTGACAGATGGCTCCTAACCTAACTCTTCAAAAGATGGGGTGGATCTATTTTGTCTTTTCCTTTCTAATGTTTTCTTGGCAAGGAAAAAAAAAGATGAAATATTGGGAAAGTACAGGATTACAAATGGAAAATAATATTGTCTAGACCTTTGAGAAAAGAATGAGCCAGGGCCATTCCTCAAGAAAAGTCCTGCCTTGAGTCCAGTGTCTGAGGTTATTGAAAATGAAACCTGTCGGGAGAAATATTTTTAAAAGGACTGGGTTAGCAAATATGTAACTGGAGTGTTTTTGGACTCCCAAATTCCATTAGCCCATCAGCATGACTTATAATTTTACAATTTCAATTATTTCTGACAACATCTGGAAGGCTGCAGTTTCTCCATGCATGACGTACAGGAAAAATTCAATGGATAAAACATAAAACCTAAAGCTGGGTTCATTCTGCAGCTTACTCTTCATCTTGTTCAATTACATTTTACAAATAAATTCCATAACCTTATATTTTCATACATCTTAAAATGAGAACAATGACTTGCCTCACAAAGTTGTTATAAACACAAAACATTTCAATATAGCTAGCCCCAAGAGTTAGAAGTTTTACTGAAATAGTAATAATAATGTGGTAATGAAACATATTGCAAACAGTGGCAATTGTTGAATACAGCTATGGACTCAAATCCTAGCGATCCAAGGACATTGGTAGCCGTTTAAAATAAAACATCCTTTTTGAAGTATTTCTTGCAATACAAGAAACCAACTTACAAGTTACAAATCCAAGTTAAAATGTATGCCCCACACTCCTTGGCAATCCAGTTATCTCCAAGCTTATTTATATGGCATGTTGTGCAAGATCACAAAATACAACCCACTTTTTGCTGTGTAAGTTAAAACAATCATGTGCTTTCCCATTTGAAATACATGCAAGCAGCAAAAACTGTCATCATCCGCCACCACACTTTTTTAAAAATTAAAGTTGTACATTTGTGTGCTGCTCCTAATTCAAGGGTTGTGTAAACCAGTGTACAAAACAACATTGCAGTTGGGAGCCCTAACCCTAACCCTTACTGCTAGTACTGTAGAAACAGCATAGCATTTGCCTCCATAACAGTTCTAAAACACACTGGGCTTATGTGAAGTGACCTACTCAAGATAGCCAATCTGCAGCTTTTAAACATAGTTTATTGACTTTTGATTATTTAAATAAGTAAATAAATGTTGTTTTTATTTATTTATTTATTTATTTATTTATTTATTTATTAAAAAAAGCTATATAAACCATCACTACAAATTTGCTTTTTCTTCCTTTTTGGGAGGGTTAGGGTTGATCCTGCGGAAGCTGAAACGGACAAGTGTCTAAACCATTCCTATAACATGTGGGTTCACAAGGAAGCAGGCAGTTGATAAATAGCAGATGAACAATTGTAAAGTGAGTAAAGTGAGCCTCCATCATTTGGGCTGGCATTGTGAAGTGATGAGAAGCAATTTTGAGGACGGACAAGACACTCTTGAAATTGCTATTTTAAGAGCCCTGTCATGATGTTTCTTAGTGATTTGGGAAACAGCATGGTTGCACAATGGAGGAGCAGGAAAAGAAATGACAGGCATTGAATGAAATTATCTATCTATCTGGTTTGTTTTAGTGCGATTTAATTCAACCCAGCAGCCTTGCTCTTTGCAATGCAGCTTGGTTTGGCAAATTAAAAATAAGCAAAACTTTTAGATACCAACAGAATTGCAGAAGTTAACCAAAGTGAGTTCTGTATCAGAACAGCGGTGATTAATGCTCCCGTGTTTTTAAACTGTGCCACTTCTGAAGAGGAAGTAGTGCCATGGCAAAAACAGACTGCTCCTTACTAAAAGCCGATTCTTCCCAAAGCTTACAAAATCTGAATTTCTAGTACAGTTACTGGTAAATTCATGAGATTCAAAACATTCATTTCTAACACTGAAGTATAATATCCGAATATTTTCAGAAATCCAACAGTGGGGCCCCATCCATTCTTCACATATTTCCTGTAAGACGGTATTCCAGGACAAAGGCCTGTTTAATTGTTTAAACCAGAGCTGGGAAAAAAACACAGGTTTGTTCAGGTTTACACCATTGTTTGTAAAAAGACTTCACCTTCCAGTTACTAGCTATATATCACAAAGGGGAAGCTGTACGCATGCAGAGTTGGCAAATTCCCAAAAGACTCTGTCTTGCATAGAATTCAGATGGAGCTCACCAGATACTTTTCAAAATGGCCCCAAAATGTGACAGTGGGACTCCAGCAAGCACTTTTTTTCCTTTTCTTCTTGTGCCTTCAAGTCAATCTTGGCTCCTGGCAACTGCCTGGAGAAGTCCATGCATTTTCTTGGTAATGTTTTTGGGAGGTGGTTTGCCCTTGCCTGCTTCCTAGGGCTGAGAGAGAGTGAGATGGCCCCAGCTGGCTTTGTGTCTAAGGTGGGACCAGAACTCACAGTCTCCTGGTTTCTAGCCTGGTGCCTTAACCACTACACCAAACTGGCTCTTTCAGGAAGCCAAGGGCCCAAATACCATCTGGCACCCCAAATACCCTTCTTTCAAGCTCCTGGAACCATTGATGGGTTTTAATAGCCTACAACTTTGGAATGTTAACTGCTTTGTATTTTTTTTTATTTCTCAGTCATCTGATTTTGCTTTGGGTTCGGGGCAGGGGAATACATCATTTCACTGAACAATATTTTTAAAGCTACATAATACATTATAAAGCAAAGTATCTTGCTTTTTATCCCTCCCTCCAAATGGAAACTTCAAACGGTAGAGGAATGACAGGACTCTCTTCCAGCCTACTCTCTCCCTCCTTCCATATTGCATAAAATAAATGTAAGAACCACTTTTGTCCTTGTGATACCTTATTCTCACACTAATGATCATTACTTAAGCTCCCATCCTTCTCCGTCTTCCTAAATTACACTGTGCAGAAGTGCTTTACCAGTGCAGCATATTCTATTCATTTGTCCTCTAATAAGCAGAGTCAACTGCACAATCCCCAGGACTCACTAGCCTTCCTTAATCCATCCAACTTCCCCAGGTATGATTTCAGAATTTTGCCTTAACGTTGGGTGGCAAAGAATTTGTATCTTTAATGAAATCAGCTGGACCACAAATGGATTGGAATATCCATCAAGATGAAAACATCTCTGAATTTTGCACTGCCATCATCTAAAAAAAAAAATCACATGTTATTAAAGGGCAAGTTATTCAGAGAAAGTACCTACAACTGAAATGATTTTTATGCGCTTTTAACTTGCACATATTTTCCAGGACAGAACAGACACATATGAAACCAACATGCCTTGAAAATACACAAATAAATTTACTTACAATAAATATTTCCTAGTGTACAAAAACAATGATTATTGTGCTACTCCAATATTGTTAATTCGTTTGCCCTGAGAACTTTTGGGCAGGGCTATCTGAATTCGAAGCCAGCAATGAAAACACACAGTGCTTAGCGGAACCGAGGACAAATTGGCTGCAGTTGGCTACCAACCTCAACTATAAAACCAAAAAGGCATAGCTTTATTGCCTGCTCAGGAAGTTAAAGAGTTCCCACCTTACCCAGAAAGTTTTACACTGATTTATCTCTTTGCTTGTTTGTTCTATTTATATTGTTTTAAAAATGTATGTCAATAATACAGCTATATAGACTTTGGATTTGTAGGGAGAAATTTGATTGCGGGCACATGTAGCTTGCATGTATTACCTGCTGGAAGCACCTTAAAGCAGCTACATCTTTCCCTGGGCTCCTGTGACTGCCTCTACGGCTGTTAAAAATCCTGGGAAAATATCCATTTGGCTTAAGGCATGCCCAGCAATGCTGCCTGTCATGTGCTCCAAATCGTACTTCTCCTTTTGAATCTGAAGGGCTGACCAACCCTAATAAATAGCCAGGCCTCAAATGTTTTCTGAACCAGGGTGTTAGCAAATGGAACATAATAGCTTCCTTTCTCCCAAACTTAATAAAAAAGTGCAGTCATGCAATAGAGCCAAGCTTCGTATATTATAGAACAGCTGCAACTTAATCCGATTCAGACATGTTGATGAGCTGGAGAAACTATTACTGGAGGGAAGAGCAGCTATTCTCTGGCGCTGTGCGCCCAGATGTGCATAACACACATCAAATGCACAGATCCAGCTCCTGATAAATGGGAATAAAACTTGATGGACGCTAATAGAGCCTTCCACAACCTGATGTTGCAGGTGTGTTGAATAATAACTCCAATCGGCTGTATCTCAAGACATCTGGAGGGTACCACTTCCAACAAAGCAAAATAGTAATTTAACAGGGAAAGGCTTAAACAGTAAAAAAAGCTTCTGAATAAATCCAGACAGTATGAATTATGCGCTTCTTCAGTGTCAAAAAAGTCCAGCTTTCATGGCTGGGGTAGATATTAGAAGAGAAGAGAAGGAGAGTAGCATCATCTTCTCCTAAGCTTTCTTCTATTAAAAAAAAAAAAGTCTTCAGCTCTCTAGAGATGTTGGGAGCAGAGCACACAGACTTCCCAGCCATCTAGCAGGCAATGGCAGTGGCAGACAGGCGTGCTGTCTGAGAATCTTAGAAGCTGCAACCTCAGTATGTGTAGAAGACACCAGGTTGGGTAAGGCTGGAGGAGAAAGAGAAGCTGCGATTCCTGAAATGTAGACAAACTCCCTAAAATAGACAACGGGGGAGGGGAGCAGTGAAGGAAATTAAGAATTCAATCCTCTTGGCCCAGGTCTGGAGTATCTATATTATTCTACTTTACCCGGGGCAGTTCTGTTTTTGAAGGGCTGCCTTGTGCAAACTAAGTTTAAAGACAAAGAACTTAGAAGAGAAAACAGGGTGGGAACTGGAAGTTGCCCATCTGAGGTCAGTTTTTGGACAGCAGGCGGAAGTCTACCAGGCTTCCCCGTTTGTATTTACCTTACAATAAATATTTCCAAATTGGCCTCTGTATTTCTAATTGAGCATATTAGCACGTTATGCAATTCTGCCTGGTTCTTTTTTTTTTATGTTGCATCCCTTTCTCCTTGCAGTTGCATTAAGTGGCACTCTAGCCTAGAACTCCATTTTGATAAACTTCAGTACCTATCCCATAACCTTTTTAGATATGTCAGTATGAGCAAGTCTGGGGAGAAAGCAACTCCCCTTAAAGAGGAGGTGGGTGACAGGATGGAGCTCCTTTCCATATTGATCCTACTTGACATAGTACCTCCATCAGATAAGGTGGAAAGTAGACCTATCTGCCTCTTCTGCATTTGAAGGTGGTAGTGCCCACAATGGGAAGGAGACACATGCTGGCCCGGAAGAGAAAACTCAAAGGGTCTTTCATCCTGACCAACAAAGCCCCATTGAGCCTCCCACACGCACAACGACAAGACCCCTGGGTCAGTACAGTTATGGAGCTGGGGATTTGGATTCAACCTTCCGTCCCTACGCCAAGGAGTGGGATAATGGCCCTTTTCAGATTTGATTGAGGGAACAGGCAGGTCACCTCCAGCGTAAGGCTCCAGGCTAGGCAGCAACAAGGCAATTAGTGTAGTGAAGACAACAGAGGGAGATCTGGGAATGGCAAAGACACACGGGCAAGCTACCACCCGGCCTCCTGCCATCCTAATTGAATCTCTACCATTTGCATGAGGAACAGAAGGGGGTCATGACCTCCCCTCATGCTCCCTGCTAGAGGTTCAAAAGTTTAAACAGCATTTCTCCTCCACCCCCAACGCACATACAAGCAAACTGTAACTTAATTCCATGTGACCAGATGCCACAGCCTCCAGGGGAACTCTTCCTCCCCCCCCCCGCTTCAAAACTCAATCCACAGCTGGGATGACGGGGGTAGAAGAGAAAACTGGATGGCAACTGGGTTGCTTTTTTCCAAAACCAGCTCAGTCAAGAAGCCAAAAAATGCACCTTGGTCCTCCTTAGAGATCTATCCAAGCAGAATTAAAAGCTAAGAGCTTAATTGCTAAAATCTGGACTGTCAAAGAAGCTACATAAGAAAAACAGGCACCTACCCAGCTGAGCCAGCATTTCATTTTTAAAATGAGAGAGGCTGGGGTTCATACTTGCCTCACGATAAGCTGATCTGATTCAGGCTGAAGAGCTTTCTAAGATACCTTAGACTACAAACAACGGAACTGTAATGAAGGGAAAATACATCCGCACACATTAATGGGCACTGAATAGGTTCATGTGCTTCAGCTTCAGTGATGGAATCTGCCACCCAAAAGAGGCTCCGGAAATCCAAGACTTAGGTGCACATTGAATCCTGAATATGAGAACTGTGGATAATTTCTATGCCAGCCTTAGCTCTCATTCCTTTTCCTCCTCAGTAGCAGCAGCCCCACCACGTCAGTCTCTCTTCTTCGGAACAGCTATTCTATTCTGTACTTCCTTCCTACCATCTCTCTTGGTCTCATGCATGCACACTTCAAAAGCAGCAAAATCAGGTTAGAAAATGCTGAGTTCAGGGCAAAATGTGTCTGGGAGAAGGAAATTGCATTTTAACTCTGCAAGGTCTGAATTAGAGACTGCGCAAGAAGAGTTTGTTGGCATGTTTCTGAGGTTTTGGGTTCCGTAAATGAAACAAAGTGGGAGTTATGACCTGGATGCCGACAAAAATGTGCCTGGTTTAGGCAGAAGTTTTGTGGGGGCAGAAGAACAGGAAAAATCCAATGTCTGATGATGTGTACAGACATTGGTGGCAATGGCTAAGGAGAGGCAGGGCACTGAGAAGATGGAGAGGTTGGTAGTCCAGTGGGATATGCCACGCTGGGGTCCTGTCTCTGGCTGCTGAGACCACTGCAGGAAAGAACAGGTGCAAAGGCCAGTAGAGAAGCAGCAATGGAGGGAGGGAGGGAAGAGAGAGGGCAGGCTGGGGAGATCAGGAGTGGGGGCAGATGAGCCAGTGGGCCATGCCTCCTGAGATATAATTGGCAGCAGCTGAGGGAGGGGAGGTGGCGTGGCCAACCTGAAATGCTTTGGCAGAACTTCCAGAATGCAAAAGTTAGTTTCAGTTCAAAACCAAAGAGATGTTTTCCATTTCATGCACCTCTTAGTCTGAACCTTCTGCCAACCTTACCCACGACCCTCAGCTTCAGCCTCTGCCAGCCCAATGTCTGGACTCCATGCCCCTCTTCCGGCTCTTGGGCAATCTCCTGCTCAGCTCCTCTTGTCTTCCAGACATGGGACTCTCCCCCTCCCAATCTATCCCTTTGCCCAGCTAGACAGGGGAGGGGTGCGCCGGCTCCTTCGCTGCCCGGTTAATATTTAATATGAAAAGTCTGTTGGGCACAACACTGTGCAGAGTGGTAACTAATGGCAGCTGGGAGGGGGCTGCCAGCAGCCACCACAACTCCTCTCTGGCTTGCAGCAAGCCCAGGGGAAGAGGCCTGAGAGCAAGCGTGCCAGGACAGATGTGCCCCTGGAACCTTCTGAGACTGGAGCGACTGGGGCTTCTGTAAGAGCAGCTGGGGGGGGGAAGACAGCGGCAGCTCCCTGGGCTTGCTGAGCAGTTGCACGATCCAGGCCCCTTCTACCTACAAGTTCAGAGGGGAGGGCGTAGGGCAGCCTGGAAGCTGCTGGCTCCCAGTGGGCATGGCCCAATTCCTAAGTACACAGCTCCAGGCCTAAAATAATATACCCTCTGGGCATTTCTTGACCAACTCACAAAACAGGAACTGGGCAGAAGGAGCATGACGATAAAAACAAGAAAAAAAGTAAACCAGGACAGAGATTAAGATCTCCTGGAAACTCAGCACCTCGGGTATATGGGGCCCTGATACAGTATTCAACAGAGAAAGAAGGCCTTCTGACCATGCACCTCCATCTAGGCTATCTGCCCTGGGCATACTGCAAAGTGAAACACCAATGTCAGCTTCATTTCCAAAAATACTTTCGGATCCCACATTTGCATTCTTTAAAAAAAAAAACCAACCAGCTCAGTGCCTTGTTCAGTAGTATACCCATCTGTCCAGAAAAAGAGGTGGTAGAGACCATCTTTAAGGACTAGAGAAGAAACCTCATCAATTTGCCTTCTGGTAAATGAACACCTTGTGAGTAGCCTTGCCTACCATGCAGCTATTTTTGCGAGGGCACTCACAACAAATTTTCAGAATTCCAGTGTATCACCAGCAGCCCCCCCAATTTACCCCCCCCCCCGCTACCTTGAAGGATGCAATTTATTTCTTCTGGTAAACATCCACTTGTAGCATAGAGCCATACAAATCGGCTCCTAGTAAAAATGGCTGTAATACCAGGGAAGATTTATTAGGAGAAGCTTCTGAGGAATATTAATTAATTTGCATAGTCCTGATTCAGGTTATTAATATTCTTTATCTCCCTCAGTCATTGCATTGTTCCATCTAGCTCAGTGTTTCCAAACCTGGGCAACTTAAACAATGTGTGGACTTCAATGCCCAGAATTCTGTAGCCAATGTAGTTATGGCTGAAAATTTGGGGAGTTGTCCAAGTTCAGAAACATTTATCTAGCTCAACTGTGTCTATGCAAGTTTTCCCCCTTCCCCTTCAGATATTGTGGTACTACAACTTCTAGAATAGTGTTTTTCAATCTTGGTGACTTTAAGACATGTGGACTTTGACTCCCAGAATTCCCCAGCCAGCATGCCAAGGTTGAGAAACACTGTTCTAGAATGTGTAGACACATGATTGGGAATTGTGGGAACAGTAGCTCCAGTGCACCTAGAGGGCACCAGATCAGGGACAGCTAGTTCACTCTGACCAGCAAAAACTCAGGCTTACCTGGAGACTTAGGGTTAAAGCTGGGATCTTCTGTATGCAAAGTGCATGCTTTGTCACCAAGTCATATATGAAGCTTTCTTGGAGAATTATAGGAGGAGGGGGGAAAAATCCATATGCTTGCATATGTATTGTGGCAGGAGGATAAAGTCTGATCACATTGTTCTCTTACAGAAAATAATATTACTCAGCCCACCCCACAATTACTGGTATTTTCAGCCCATCTTAAACAAAGTTATTAGATGAGTGGTTTTGCAGACAGGTGATAGGGCTTCACTGCTGCCAAGTTTCTTTATTCATCTTTCTTCATCACAGAGGGTGATGATGCTACAGACTGGGGCCAAGCCATGGTCCAACTATCACTAGCTGGGGAGAAACACAAGTTTCTTTAGTTTTACTTGGAGGTAACTAGAAATACTGGGGGAAATGAAAGCCTCTGAACATTTGTATACATACAGCCCTTAGTAATAATCTCCATCCTCCCCATGACCCTTTCCGGGTTCTGCCCCAAACCCTTTCCCAGGCATCAAGAAGAGCATCTGACCTTCTTAAGGTTGCCAGTCCGGGTTCCAATAAAGACGACTGAATGGCCACGATAGGTGTAAGCGGCAACACTGGCCATGCCCTCTGTCTTTTCCTGAAGCAACGGGCGTCCCTCGATGACCTGCAGCCCGCCTAGGGGCTGGTTCAACACCAACCCACAGAAATTGCCATTGATCTGCATGGGCTGGAAAGAGGCAAAGGAGGAGATATGAGGGTCAACATCACATGGGAATGAGTAACTTGGGTACACAATGGTATCAACAAGCCCCATCCCTGTGCATATTACTCAGATATTTGTGCCCCAGTTATCAAAAAGTGGAGAGTATGTCATTAACTCCAAGGGCCCAAACAAAAGTTCCCAGGTTTAAGCTGCAGTCTTGGGATAAGATAAGACCAAAGGCCAAAGAAAAGGGAAGGCAATTTCCAAAGGCCAGAATGGCTGGGATTCTTATTTTAGAAAGGAATGGAAACTGGCAATTATTAGGTAGGAAGTGAGCAAACAGAGACTGCTTGATAGTGTGCAATACCGTGTTGATGCAGGGCAACTCTTTGTTGAGAAGCCACGGTAGAGAGAGTCGCCCTTCCCCACGGTAGCAGGACTGGATACGCTCACGGATGCGTTGATTGACTTCGTCCAGCGTGAAAAGGCAGAGCAGGCTCTCCCGGGGTGGTGCTGCCCTGTTCTTCTGGCCTTGTGAGAAGGCAGCGTAAAGCACATCTTGCCCTTCTGTGATGCCCAGCGACTGGGCCAACTGGTGTCCAGCTTTGGCCAGCTGAGCCGCCTGCACCAGACGGTATTCCACCCCGTCCTTGGAGCAGCCCAGGGGGAATTCCACGTAAGAGTAGAACTCAGTGTCGTTGGCACACAGGCGCACAATCTTGGATGAAAAGAAGCGCTCCCCACCCGTCACTCCAGGGCCAACGGGACCTCCGGCAGGCTCGAGGGGCGTCTGAGCGGTGTCAAGCTGCAAAGTGAGGAAATACACGAAACCGCCAGACACAAATGCAGACACGTAGTAGATATCAAAGGCAGGGTAGAGCGAGAGAGTGTCAGAAGGGACCTTGATCTGAGAGGAGACAAACTCGTCCTGATATACCAGGCTGAACATCTCTGGACTGGTGGCATCAGGAGTCAGCCGGCGGCTGGAGAGGGTGGGGAAGTACTCCGAACGCCCCCCGATGGAAGTGCCCACAAAGAACTGGCTGGGCTCTCCCAGCTGCTCCACGATCACACCAACCATGGCATCTGGTTCGCGCCCCCCAGAAAGGTAATGCTCCTTGCGCTGGTGAGGCTCCCCTAGTTTGGCCAGGTCCTCCAACCGCAAGAGCTGGCACACTCCCTGCCAAACGCTGCCACAGGCCACGAGGCGGCTGCCAGCATAGTCAATCAGAAGCAGCTTGTTGACATTGTCAGCAGGGGACAGCCGGTGGGCACAGAGCCGCACACCTGGGGGAGGGTAGCATCTGGGATCATCCGGCACTGGTCCCGTAGTGTGAGCCCGTAGCTGGGTCAGGTTAGCTGAGAGCTTGTAGATGCGGTTGATGGCACCCAAGTAGACCTCCCCCGTCTCATGGTGCACAGCCAGATGGGTAAGGGCCATGTCCGGGACCGTGAAGACAACACGGGTGGGCAAGATGCCCCAAACAGGGGGTGGCCAGGAGAGCAGGACAGCAGCTATAGTGGTGATGGGAAGGAGCAGCCACCACATGATCACTGGGGAGTTGCCTGGGGTCAGGCAGGGCCAGGCACAGGCAGCTCATTCAGCCTGCAAGGGGGAGAGGAGACAGAGATTAAGGCCCAGGCTCAGTGTGCACTGCAGATGCAAAAGGAAAAATACAGAAAAAGAAAAAGCACAGTAGAAAAGGCTGCAAGGTTATAGAGCTCCATCCAGCTCAGCCCCATGTGAGCCTTGCCTTCACGATTTAGGACTGCAAGGTCTATTGGGCTCATCCCACCTACCCCGGGGCCCCTCTAAAGAGCTATGTGCCCCAAGAGGTTCTGAATGCACCACGACAGCCCCATCAAGCCCAAGCTAGGGAGCCCCATTTCTCCGAAGGAACAGCTGCTGCCTCCAAAAACCCACTCTTCTTGTTCCATGCAACCCCCCTTCCCAGCTACTCATTAGCACCCACCAGACTCATTGTGAAGCAACCACTGCAGGAGTGAGAAGCAAAGCCAGTGCTGCATTGTGCACGCGCACACCTGCTACAACTCAGAAACGCCAGGCCCAGCAATGGCACCTGCCATGCCAAAGGAGCAAAGGCTGCACTCACCTAAGCAGCTGTTCCCTTCTCCATTCTCAGTGCTACAGCTACGCACACCCAGGGTCCCAATTATGGGCACCCCAATGCCATGGCTTCTCCATATTCACACCAGGGGCTTCATTTAAATGTATGAAGCAGGAAGTACCTTCTTGTGCAGCACTGCACGTTGCTGCATTCACGTTTACACTAGGCCCACAGCTATCATATGCGCACCATGACTACAGCAACATAATTGCAGATCCCGGCATGTTAGCAGTTCACATGCAACAGGTTTGTACCCAATTTAAATGCTACACATGTGCACTAGCAGATGTGCATTATCACAATGGAAATGGGGGGGGGGTTGCCTTCAATACTTTACAATGAGACTCAAAGAACTATTCAGAGATACAGCCCCATTGCTTAATGGTTCCATCACCAAGGGAAAATTTTGCATGTGTGAATGAACCGTTAGAAAAATGCCACATTTTCCTATGCACTCCAACAATACTTTCCGCTAAATTAGCTTTCTTCATTCAGCTAGATAGTTAAATAATGTGAAATCAAGCAAGGTGCATGCTAATAGCCTTCAAAATCACTTTATGCCACTCAGATTTTTTTTTTCATCTCTCTTCTCACCTTTCTCAGTATTATAGCATCTTCACAAGCACTTGGAAATAAATCTTTCCTCACCCAGTGTGGATAAATTCACACTTTTAAAATTTCAACTGCATTAATTCACAATACACATTGTCCTCAGATTTACGAAGACCACCCAATCTGACTGTGAACATTTGAAAGTAATGAAAGAGGATGTAAGGCAAAGAGAACAGCAGTGCTGCATTTCTGCAAACTGGTAGTTAAAGTATGTACTACAGCATATAGGAACCAGCAAACAGATAGTCATGGCTCAGAATCCATCTATCCGAAGCCCTATCAAAAGTTATGGTACAGAAAATATCATGCACTCCCACACATTAAAAAAAAAAAAAGTTTTCACAAAAGTCAAGAAAGATAGCAATCCCATTTTCACATTTTTTTCCTTTAAATTCAATACCCTAAGCCAGTATTTTCCTAGTTTTCTATAATCCTGGACCACTGAACAAATTTTTGGAAAATGCAGGGAACACGAACAACCCCTTCTTTTTGTTTTCATCTTTGAGCACAGGAATACATATTGGCAAATAAATAATGATAATGTTTGTATTTATCTACCCCCCCTCCTACTCCCTCTGTTTTTAAAGGCTTTTTGAAACTAAATTTTGTACAAAAAATCCGAAATTAAGTATTTATTCAATTAAGTATTCACTTCAATTATTTTATGTATTCTATGTCACAATAACAACTCTTAGCATAAACTCCCTGGATAAGAAAGTTCTCAGTAGTTATCTCTGAGTACCAAGGGTCTAGGGATGAATGGATATCTCAATCTATTTAGGTATGTATCATTTTATTTTCTATTTAGCACTTTCATGTTGGGGTTCCTTATGCAAAATTGCTATTAGCACAGCAAATACAGACTGACAATTGGTAGCTGCACTTGAGACCTGTTTGTTACAGTCAGTTTTCTGAATTTTAGTATCCACTTCACTTCAATGAACCTGTTTTCAGCCACTGATCCATCCGGTCAGGTTATGTGGGAAGGGAAGAATTAAGGCAGTGAGTGGACTCTTCCCTGCGAACACAGGGAGGCTGACCTCCTTGGGCCATCAGTGGTATGTGGACCACACAAAGAATCACTGCGTTAAACCAAGAGGTACTTGCAGGGTCCATCACACAGTTTGGAAGAGCACAGAGTAGCTTCAGGGGTTTCAGAAGTAGACCGGCAGTGCAAACATGCTTTCGTGTACTCCAAGACTGTGCACCCATCTCCCCACCAGCCCATTTAGTAAAGAGGGGAAGCAGTCAGATTAGGTCTCTCTTCCTTAGCATTGCCTATTCTAACTGGTAGATGACAAGCACTGGTCACCTTAAATCTAGCTTTTCTATCCCAAATTTTGAAAATCAAGAATATGGGATCTTCTACAGAAGCAGACCAGTTACTATAGTTGAGCTACAGGCCAAATCTGGAGATAAGGGAGAGTTTGAAGTTTGAAGGTGCTTGGAAGGATCTGTTGTGAGGTTTCTACCACAATATACAAACATGCACATAAAACAAACAAAATTCACTTCCACTAAGACTGCAATACTGTACATAGGCACAGAATATATTCCCTTGCCACAAATACATTCATAGATTAGTACCGTACCCTCTGCCGCATTTCCATCGTGTTATCGCACTGAATCCTCCACACCCACCATGGTTTCCCACAAGAGACGCTAATAAATAACAACATCAGAATATACTAGACTCTCAGTTTAAAGTTCAATACTTTGCCTTCAGATTAATCTAGCCCACATGTACAGATTTTCCTTTTCATTCAATAAAATGGCTCACTTAGATAAGAATTATCTTAGATAATTATCTTAGATAATTCTAATATCTTAGATAAGATTACAGGTCACTTAGATAAGAAATCATTCCTAGAAACAGAAATCACTGCTCAGGATATAAACCCTCCAACACACTATTTAAACCCAGCTTCTCTATTATCCACCTTGCAGTAAAATTCTCCCACCCAAACATAGCAAATTTTCCTCTCAAATCCCTGTCCTTCCCAGAGAGGCCTGGGAAAAGCATAACTAAACCTCAGATAGAACAGCAGCGGTAAGCATCTCTCCCTCTTAAGGGTGGATACCGTGAGATCCCAAATTCACTCACAAGTGAGAAACCCCAGAAAATCAAGATCTATCCATTTTTCTGTTGACAGGGAAGAAGACCAACCTGTTACACATGCATTTCAGAGTAGTCCACTGCGAAACACCAGACTGGGCAACCTGAGTTCACAACAGAATTGCAAGCAGGGCTCCTCCAGAATGAACTTGATCTCTGATTTTTCCAGTCTGCAAAATGGGGATAATTTCATTTGACCCATGGCATTAAAATAGGAAGTGCTTCTAGCATTATAGGCAGTTCTAGGAAATGAGAACACCTAAAATTCTTGTCTTCCAGGAACACATCATCAGTCAAATTGACCCAATTCTCACAGTTAGGCAATCCTTCCTCTCGAAATGAAAAAAATCCCCTTCTTTTAATGGCACAGCACTAGGAATGTTGGCTGCCAGCTAAGTCACAGCTCTATTAAGATAAGGCATGTGAAAATTTTGCTTCTGATTATGGGTTTGGGGTTCGACAAAGAATGGGGTAAGGAGAGATCCTCTTCTTTTTCTACAAAAACCAAGCACCAAATACCAAGAAACATACCGATTGACAAACCCCGGGTAACCACAAGATTAGGGGGTGGCAGGGTGATGCATATTATCCACTAAGCAACCCCCCCACAACGAATCAACCCCAGCTGGAGTCTGATGGGCGTTAGCCAGCCTTCTCCACCCCTCATTGGGCTCTTGCAGAATAAGAAACCGAGCCTTTGTGGGGAGGGAAAAGAAAGCTCTCCTCTCTCACCCTGATCCAGAGATAGAATCTCAAAATGCCAAATACTCTCCTTATTTTGCATTCTCACACATATTACCTTACCTGTTCGCCTCGTCGTCCCTGTCGCCCCCCTCGCCCCCCCCCGCCCCCGGCCCTGTTTCCTTCCTGTGACGGCCGCACGCTTGCAATAAAAACCTCTTTCCCAATGAGACGAGGAGGGAAACTAGAAATCTTCTTGAATGGTAGCATTAATGAAAGGGTGAAATGGGGAGGGGGAAGGCAGAAAGCCCGTGCAGAAACCTTAACCACAAAAGAAGAGGGCAATAGATGGGGCGTCTGCTCTCACCACAGAGACGGTCACAGGCTCCCCGCCCTGTTTTCCAGAGACCCAACGCATGAGGGGAACGGAAGGGAAAGAATCGCCCGCCCCGCTCAGAGACCACCACACCGCGGACCCCCGCAATCAGCTCCTCCGTTTACGGCGACCCTGAGACGCGTCTGCCCGGAATGGAGAAGGGGACGGTCGGTGGGAGGATGTGAGGTGCGGACGTGCGTGCTCTGTTCGTCCCGCACTCCGA